TCTCTCTCTCATCTCTCTCATCTCTCTCATCTCTCTCATCTCTCTCATCTCTCTCATCTCTCTCATCTCTTTCTCATCTCTCTCTCCTCTCTCTCTCTCTCCTCTCTGTCTCTCGTCTTTCCGTCTCTCTTCTCTCTCTTCTCTCGCAGGAGGATCCGGGCAAAGAGCCACATATAAAGGACTCTTCACCCCTGCCTCCAAAAAGAGCGCCGTGTTTTTTCCTACCTCGCTGCCCTCCACTTTCCCATTCTGGAGCGCTAGCTTTCGCCCCCCCCCCTTGGCCTCAAGTTTCAGCCTGGTTGGTTTGATTCCCACGAGCATCCTCAATTTGCTCCTGAAAACGGTAACTTATCCTAGAAATGTCATGTGACATCTATGGAACACTTTGATTGACTGTTTAATGATTTTGATGTTTATACCATAAGATCCAAATATCGTTCTTCTTAGGTCCACCCACATGCGAAATCTCGACAGCGCCAGGTGTATTTGCGCTCTGACTTGGACTCCTTGCGGCGGGTGCAGCGGCTTCTGCTAGGCCGGAGAAGGGGAGAGGAGGGAAGCTTTTGCGGTAGGCCCATGGCTGGCGTCAGGAGTTAATTTATATAATATGTAATTAGTATAGTCGGTTTGAAGTTGTTGGGGCGCTGTTGATTGGCTTTGTTGTCGCGGTCTATGTTTGTTCCCTAAGAAGCCTTGGGCCCTCCATAACAGGGGTCCGGACCCTCAACACCCTGTGTGTTTGAGGGCCCGGATTCTTAGGGTTGTTTATTGTGTTTGTTTGTTTGTTTGTGTTGTATTTTTGGAGATTCATCGGTGAAATCCGAAAGCAGCTGAGTCGATGACACTGGCCGTCGGGACATGTGGGCTGACGTTCGGGGCTTTGAGCACTTGCATGACGTTTGCACCATTTTTAGCCATTTACTTGGTCAGTAGTGTTTGGGGGTGTCCGAACTTACCTGTAACAGTCGGTAAACAAGAACCTCGCTGAACATCACTATTTTAGGTAAAGGCCTTTACTAACCATCATCATCCACTGTTACAGCGAATGGGATATACCAAAGTAGTGTTGCCTAGCCCAAAGAAAGGCGTCACTTCGTAGTCTTTTCAGTTGACCATCAGATCAAGGCCTCAAGATAATTCAAGGTGATTCAAGGCCTTAAGGCATGGTACTTGTAAAGAACGGCAGGCCCGTGAAAGCTCATATCTGGCGAGTGGGCAACCTGCATTAATACTAACCTTCCTTGTGCCCGACAGCTGTCGAGGAATTTCAGCCAGTAATTAATGCAGCTTTCGACGGATGGTTTTGCTTCTTGGAATCCGCCAAAACATGTCGCTAAATGCATGTTGCAATGATTTGTCATGTATGCTTGGCATCTTGCATTCCACCCACATCGTTTTGGAACTGAACACCTTAAAATGCCGAGTCATTTGGACCCACCAGCGCAGCCACCGCGTCCGCCCCGGAGGCATGCTGGCCTCGGCGCGGAAGTCCATGGATCCCCTGGGATCGGACGCTCGGCTTCCGAAGCGGTTCCTGTCTGCGGTTCCGGTCTGCGCTGGGGCGGTGATGAATCCAGTGGTTTTGTTGGAGATCCGGTCTTGGATTGGATGTGATTCACATAGATCCAAGTGACTTCAAACAGAATGAATACGTGCCACATAGGTTTCATGGGTTTGATCTAGTGGCTTCACTGGGCAAATTTTTACAGAAGCTGGTTGCATACCCATTATTAGAAGACTCATAGATCACTTGTATCCAATGCGCTCACTTGACCTCAAAGCCTACAAGAACACACCTCTAGTGAGGCGTCGTTTGCCCTGTTGTCATGGACAGGGCACCTCACTGCCGGCAGTTCCATGCGACAGCCGTGCTGAGTGCCGAAGGGAGGAAGGAGGTGGGTGCCCCGTCACATCCACTGAAATGGGACGAAATCCGACCCACGAACTCCATGGCAACTCCTGAGCTGCCAACAGGTTAAGTGACCTTTATAGGACCCGTCACCTGGGCTACCTCACGTTCTTCAACCTCTGCTGGTGACCTCCAGGACCCACCAACCCGCACCCCGCCGAACGGATGGCTCGAGGTTCAGATGGTGCATCGAGCCATCGTGGCTTCGGGCAGCTCGGGGGGGGGAGCCGGGAACCGGTTGTTGGCCCGGCGTGGCTGGGCCATGTCAGCAGGCCATGCACTGTACCAGTGATGCCAGAAAGTAGATGGCACACAATCCCCCCAAGTGTGGGCTTGGACCTCCATCTAAAAGACATTTGGGGAGATTCTTGGGGTTACCTGGGGGAATTCTTGGGGTTTGTGTTTGCATTTGCTTTCACAGTGCTGCGTGGTATAGCAGGGTCTGGCATTGCGATGTTGGATGCTGATGGGGGGGCCACATGGTCACCTCTTAGTGTTTGATGAACACATGGGCCGTGAACTCTTGCGAAGAAAGCCCAGGAAACGGCGCTGCAGGGACCGTAGAGTGGGGATTGACACAACCAACTATATAACCGTCGCGGCTCAGAATCAAATCAGCATCAAGGAGGTCATGGAACATGGAGCCCTAACTAAACCAACAACTGTCTCATCAGCAGTCTCCGTTGCCACCAGCGTGGAGGTGAAGGGCACAACTGAGACACTCAGTCCAAACCACCCATAGAATCTTGATGTTTCACAAAGCTTGAGGAAGACCTGTGAAGATAAGCACTGCTTCTTCGCACTGAGTGTGCACAGTCTGTTACTAAGTAGTCTCCTGGAAGACTAACCCCCAAAAAAAAGGATCAAAAAAGCTTCCCTCCCTTTCCCCTTTCCCTTTCTCCTGCGACGAGTGTCTTCCCTTTGAACAAATGAGGACAGCATGATAAGAACCGAGGAAAGTGTCCCCAGTCTCAGTTTCCACCCCATCAAGTCTTGGAAGGCGGAACTCTCTGACACTGGCTACCCTAAAGCCAATTCCTTTCTCCCCAGAAAAAAGACCGGCCTATTTTGGCCTGTCTTGGAATGGCTTTTCGGATGCCACCCAAAAGCACCAGGTAGATCGTTGGTCCCGGTGCGAGGCGTCTTTCCTTTTTTTCCTCGCGGTGAAGGCATTACCAAGCTTATCGTCGAGATGTTGGATGACCTCATCTTCACCAGTGCGCCGGAAGACGTCACGGACTCCGCCTGGCAACTCCTCATCGAAGTGCTGTGTGAAGTGAGGAGCATCGAGACCGGGGGTCGGCGCGGCCGGCCTGTAGTGGAAAGGGCCGCATCGAGGTTTTGCGGGGCCCTCCAAAGCCTTCGAACGCAGCGCAGGCCGTGCATCGATGGTTTGGGGCGCAGCCATGGGGGCCACAAGTGGGTGGCCGGCCTCGTGTTGGTCGCGACACTTAGAAGTGAGGTCCGGACCCTCCAAAGCCGATGGCCGTCTTAGTCTTCGGTACTTTGGGCCGACGTTGGGAGGCTGGGCGGAGGTCGATGCTGGGAGGAGGTCGATCTCCTTTTTCTGGGAGTGCTCCGGTGAAGGGGCGAGCCTGTGCCTTGCGAGCCACAAACTCCGACCTCGCGACGAAGCAAACAATCATGTGGAATCCAAGTTCGGCAGTATTCATCCGTCCTCCGTCAATCACAATAGCAATTGAAGCTCCAATAATGGAGTCTATGATCCATCGGTTTTGCGCTATAGATGTAGATGTTTGTTCGTCAAATCCACATGGATTGCTGATCATCGCCACCTTCAAGCAAGCGTCAGGACTCCCTCGGGTGGTCAATCAGTGAGCAAGCCCATGCAGCAGAGCATCCTGGAGGTTTGTATGACAGGCGCAGCACAAGAATTAGAATCACGGCAGGCCATCCGGAAGGTCCTCAATGAACCAGCACCTGCTCCAAACGTAGTCAGAGTCATACAGTAGCATGTCATAGCAACTGTTCAGCAGCAATCAGCAATTCCATCCAATTCCCAACATACTCAATCTCCCATCATGGCCAACGTGAGAGTGAATCAAGCCCAAGCAATCACGGCCAGGCCGTAGTTCTACGGGGTTCCAGGATCCAACCTTGAGCACCTGCTGTGGGCAGTTCTTCCCACACGACCGGTGGATGTTTATTCCGTCGACAAGAATCCGGGGGGGCCACCGATTCCTAAAGGAAAATCAGAGGAGGTCGGCCGATGGTGTTGCTTGAGTCATGCAAACACATACCAACACTATTAAGTTTTATTTTATATATATAGACAGATGCACTATGATAGCAACTGTTTCATACCTTTTTAACTGGTTCCTTCTTAACCAATCATTGGAGGTATTCCCTTCGCAACGAGAGGGGGGTGCAGTTCCTCCGTTTCGTCGCATCGCATCAGCCCCCCTTCCGTCTGTCGCGAGCGAGCGAACGCGAGGCTCGGATGCAGGGATGTTTGAATCCTTCCGGGAGCTCACCAGCACGGTGATCAGCAAGGCCAAGGCCACCCGGAGTCTGTCGCGAGGCCAAGACTTTTTGGGGGGCGGGTTCGTGTAGGTGCCAGGCACTGCAAAGCAGTTTTGGCGGGGATTGATGCTCCAAATCTGGAAAAAGCGTTGGGTTGAAGGGACAGCTGGGTGGGATTCTCGGTTATTACATGGCATGGAATCACGATGCAAATTCATTGCCGTTACACGCGGGTAATAAGCCATTTGAACACAATGGTTGCTCGTGTCAAGAGAAGTACTGTAGACCTACAGTAACCTGTCGGAGCACTCTAATATACAACAGTTGAGGGGACTAATGATCTGGAAACCAACAAACGTTCCATTGGAGAAAGAAGTTGAGGTGACATTTTTTGTGGGAGTTGATGTGCGGAGTTCCATTCGGATCAAGATCCGAACCAGAAGTTGAGGCAACTTCCGATGTTGAGAGTACATAGCCTTCCAAGGTTAATTTTCCACTGCCATGTTAGTGAGTCACAGTGTGTGAGTGTGTGTGTTTTGGGTAATGAAATGTAATGAAATGCAAATGTATGCTTGTATGTATGCACATGTAGTCTGGGTTTGTTTCCTTGTGTTTTTTTGATAGGTGGCCGTGCTGTAGACGACAAGAGGTCAAAGGACCGGTGCATGGTGCCGTAGAAGCCTTTGCCTTTCATTTGTTTCAGGTGTTTATTTGTGGGGTGGAATCCGATATCTGGGAACCTAGGCATGTGGACAGGGCATGACAGGGCAACTTACTAAACGAAAATTGAAGTAAAGAATCCTTCATCACCTCACAGTTGCAACATGTTGAACACATCCCACCGTGTCTTCTGTTTCAATCAGCTTCTGGTGATGCGAATTTTTAAATCAGCGGTCTCCTGGTTCCAATCGTCATTTGACAGCTGAGGAAGCTGCTGTCCACGCTCAATACAGAGGAGATTGCCTCACCCCGCGCGAGCACGAGCGGACGGTTCATCTCTCGCTCGCTCCACCGGTGGGGGCTCCGCCACAGCGGGGGAAACCCGCACGGCGGGGATTGGTTCGGAAGGGACCTGAACGCAGTGGATGTTCTGGGGATTGGTTGGCCCACCAGGAGAAACAAAACAGAATTGGTACCAGGACCATCCAATGGGTGTCCAACAGACTGCCGTACCTTACTTACAGGTCTTTGTTGGGCACCCATTGGAAGTGCTAGGTATGCGTGTTTAAATTCGGTGCCTGGCCCGCGTGATCTCTATGATCTAGTTTTGCATTCAGCGGACCGGAGTGTCCACAAGACCGCCTGGATGTCTGCGTGAATGGTGAACAGGTGGAAGAACCATGGTGAACCCTGATTTCTTCACATCAAACAGCGGAATCAGAGGTTCCGACACGCCAGGAGCAGCGGCAAATTGACGAGTACAAAGCTTGGATGGCCGATGCTGTACGGGCCATGGAGGTCGACATGGTCGTGGCATCCGTTTCGGACGTTCCGTGGTGAGAACATCAGGATCAAGCTATTGACGTGCCAGAAAAAGGGTCTCAAAAAGGACGTCCCTGACATTCTTCAACCACCCTGATGGATCAAAGGTGTGGACTCCATTGGACTCCTCTGGTCCTCTGGTCCGAGCGACTCACCAGGACTCCAGGACCGTCCACGAACGGTTTGCGATGCTGCCAGGCCATGCGGCTCATGGTAGAGGGCCACTTCTTCCCCATGCAGCAGCATCCCGGGCCAAGTCGAAGTGCATCGAATCAGAACCAGGACCTTTGACATCACTGGGCTTGTGATATTTTTTGCCTACCCTGAGAGGAGGTGACACCAAGTCCCATGAATTCCTGGGCACCTCAGCCCCAAACCCATGTCCACCAGCGGTGCCGAACGGTGCCCGGAGGAAGTCCGGGCGCTCATCCATTGGATGGGAGGGGGACACAACACATGACAAAACCAACTGAACTGCACTCTCCTGGCGCTTCCCCTTCCTCTTCCGTGGAGCACCCCCCCCAGCGGGTGAAAGGACCAACGGTGCGAAAGACCAACGGTACTCGTTTCATGGGATGTGAAAGACCATGGCAAGACCAGACCTGACACGGTTTGGGATTTCTTCCGTAGAACTACTAACTACTCTTTTAGCACGGAAAACAAGAAGTGTCAGCGTCTTCCAGGCATCGTAAAGGGGTGGTGTGGCTCATCCCATCCAGTGAGTGGATATTGGGCAGGCCCTAAGCTCCATGGATAGCACCCCTTTGAAACTCCTGGTTCTTTATCTTTTTCTCCCGGAACTCGGAATTTTTGCTGCGAAGGGCTTCCCAGATCCATCCGAGGCATCTGCATTCCCAGAGCGGCTCCTCCCGGTCCTGTGACGTGCTGGAGCAAACCTGCCGACTGGTGGTGCAGATGGCGAAGGTGAGAACGGCTGGGATGAGAGGAGGGAGGAGAGAGGAGGGCGGCATGCTTTGGTCCACAAATTGCATGCTTTAGACTTTAGGACATGCCATTCTTCCCAGAGTTTCCAGGTGCTTTTTGTGTGGAATTTTTCTCGCGAGGACGCGGACCAGTGCTTCTGGGTTCATGGACTAAAGTGACAGACTAGCCAGTGGAACCTCATTTTTGGATTGTGTTCTGTGTTCTCAAGTGTTTTGGGGGGGTATCACTTTTTGTTGCCCTCTATAACATTTAGGGGTCATGGGGACTATTGACTATTGAGAAGGTCAGTCAGCTCTTTGATGGATCAATTCGGGCCTGATTCCCCATGTGCAGGAAGACTGGAAGGTATAAATTAAGAGCTAAGGATATAGAGGCATAAGATGGTGGGAGGCCAGCATCTTCTACCGACACTGCCCGCCGACCACTGGGTTCAGGACCCCAAGGGAGGTGACAGCATGATGCCTGAAGAGATTCAGTGCATTAGTCGCTTGGCTTGAAAGCAGGCAAGTGGTTTGTCCACTGCAGGCAGATTGCCCGCAGGCGTTTGATGAGCCAACACCAACTTTGACTCGGACATGACCTTGGCAAGGACGTTCTCAGGCCTCACCGGGTTGCAGCACTTGTGGTAAGCTACAGCCTCTAAGTCCGTTTGAGCTACAGCGCAGAATTACAGAACCCCCATCACACCCTCCCCGCAAGAAGAAGTATTTTGAACACTCGCCTCGCGGTCAAGATCGCTGTAAAGATCACTGGTGAACATAGATCAGACAGAATCTGGGACGGTTCAGGGGGGAAGACCATGCACTTTCATGGTGCTTGGACGAAAGAACTGCGCTGTCCTCCAGCTTGACCGACCTTGGGGGGGTTCTACAACCGCGGTTGAACGACCAAGCGATCAAGTTGGGCCGTATGGGGATGGATCGTTCAACCTGGAGCATCTTCCAGTCCACCCTTCGGCGCGACAAACCGGTCGGTCTCCTGATGCGACGCGATCGTCATTCGGATGAGCCCGATCACACGGACGCCCAACGCTCCGCAACACGATCACCGCCCAGGTCAAGCCCTGACGCTTTTGATTGAGTTGTGCCAGGGCCCCAACCTGCAGAACCAGGCCAGGTGAAGCTGAGAGGAGGGCTTGCAAGCCCAAGCTCAGAGGGGGACAGGGCTGCGTAGTCCGTAGTTAGACCTTTAAACCGGGAGCCTGTACAGTACAGTCTACTTTCAACATTTTGGGGATCGAGGGTGAGATTCTGACACTCTGACCATGAAATCCACTTGGTGAAAACGGCAGGATTGGACAATGTCCATTCCCACATGCGAGGCGAGGTTTTGACTTCTGATCAACTGTGTTCTCATGAGAAAAACTGCCATTCGAGCTGTCAGGTATGACATGCTACAACCATCTATGCCATTGTATGCCAGTGAAACACGGGGCATGCCTTCGGGCAATCAGTGTATGCCAGCCACTCCGAGGCCACCACAGCTTGCAAAAGCTGCACACTGCTACGCCACTGCTACACCAGATTTTGTTTAATCTCCACTCTCCACTTCTATCTGTTTGAGACGGCCCTGATCCAATGATGTATAGCCATACGCATGTACGTGGTTTGCAATCGCCCTGCCCGCCCTGCTTGCCAGGAAGTCGTCAGCACCTTGGGTCTGGTCGAGACGAGCTCGAGGCTTTTGCAGCCCAACTTTGAGCTGATTTGCCAGTTGGAAGGCGACAACTCCTGCCTGGTGGGCGTTTCTCTTTCTCATCATCCACCAGACTTAAGCTACGGCCATTTGACCCCTGTTCTGATAGGAAAAGACATGAAAAGACGATTTGATTTGGGCGATGGGTGATCCAAAATACAGGTCGTCACTCAGGTTCTAGGTAAAAACATCCAACATTTCTTTGTGTCGCTAGTTCTTGGGAGGCTTTCAAACTCGCCTCGGAAGCCGTTAGCAGCCAGGTGACGTGTATCCTCCCACGGTGCGACGACTGAAAGCCCTCCTGATGGATGGCATGCTGGCACTGGTGGAAGGGCGCTTGGATAGTCAAATCCATGTGTCCTGGCGTGGTGAACCCGAACATCTACACCCTCAAAAAACTGGGCGAAGATCGGATGAACTGGCGCAAGGGGCGAACGTTTCTGCCTAAATCTGGTTGATGGGTCTGATGCTGGAGGGGCCGAACGCATGGTGTTGGGTGACCCACCCCGATCCCCAACCCCTGGATCATGGATGTGATGAAACATCGAGTGCTTGCCTGTTTCAAGCGCTACTAAGGGAGTTCACTTCGTTTACGGCCGGATGGTTCCTTTCCGGGATTTGAGCTCACATTTTGGCCGGTATATCCGAGTCGAAATGGCCTATGCCATCCCATCCACGGCCGGGCCAGGGAGTGCAGGTAGATCATTTGATGGTTCTGTACGGTCATGTCCGTGCCTGGACTGACAAGGCAAATGTCCAGCAGAACGGCAGTCCATAGCACATTCCGCAGGTATCGGCAGGTCTTTGTCAGCCAACCTCATGTCAAATAGCTGGTGCTCTCAGGACTGTCTTTTGGGGCTTTTGTCGCTGGCGAGCGCCGAAACAAAGAAACAAGGTGGACAGAGATGGAGATCAAGAATCAGGATGCTCTTTCGTTTTGACATTGATGAACCCTCCAAATTGGTGAGCTCTAGTCCTCAAGAGGGTTCGACGAAATGAGTTGTATCAGATGTGGCAGTCAGCCAACAACTCGTGTTTGGCCGGTCTACATCAGTCCGAGACGATAGACGCTGAACACCGAACCGGGATCACACCGGTAGACCGCTAGGACCGTCTGTCATCTGGGATATCAAGGGCTGTGAAAACCTCTCTAGGACGTCTTCGGATTTTATCCACATGTCACGGATGTCTCACATCCCCAGCAGTTCTTGGAATGTGTCCCTTCCGCGTCGCACAACCGACGCCCAGACGCCGTCCGGCTCGCAGCGAGGTCACCATTCCGCAGCGCTTGGACCCATTGGCCCTCAAGGAGTGCGGGACGCGACAGGCGACGTCGGGCGGAGACAGTCCTGATGCGTCCGTCTGTTTGGTAGACCCTCCGGGTGGTCTTTGATCTTGTTTGCAGGGTTCAATGGATTCCAACAACTGGGTGATAACTTCAGATGCCGATGGATCAGATTGAATCGATGAGGACTTCCCTTTTTCCAATTTGCTGAACCATGCTGTTCTTATTTTGGTCTAGCGGACCACACTGGTCGCATCGAGGGACCGATCCAAGTCCACTCGGGAACTCAAAGGGCATCTATAGATCAAAACAAATAAAGAACAGTATCAATGAATAATGAGAACAGAATCAAGAAAAGTAGTCCTGAGTAGGTCCCCTGGTCCTTTGGCCCCCTGGTCCTTTGGTGCCCTGGTCCCTTTGCTCGTCCTTGTCCTGGTCTGCTGGCCTCGTGGTAAACACGAGGTTTCTTTGTGTCACTTTCTGAGTGCCCTTCATTGATGAGGCATGATGAGGAAATGGGGTGTGTAGTTTTCGATGGCGATCAATTTTGTGGTGCGTTTTTGAGATGTTTTGAGTCCCCACTCCAGTGCCACAGAATCTCCACTACTTTTGCCAATGCGCTGCACCTACCACGACAGATTTTCTAAAGGATACCAGGCATCCCCCGCATATTCACGCAAAATATTGCACGCCACAAGTCTGTTCATTTTGTGTTGTGAACGTCCTTTCATGGTCCTCTGGTCGCCCGCCCTGCTGCTGTTGTCCTTTCCCTAATCTCTTTTCATTGCTTACTTTTTTTCTCATCCCTGTCTGTAAAAAATTGACACCTGTCGAATATTTTTTGAAGCTATTCTTATTGATGATGCTATTATTATTATTTTTTGATCCCTCACTTTTCTGGGCCATCTATAAAAAACTGACCCCTGTACAAGACGTCAGATTCCCTTTATACGACGTTGCTTCATGTGAGTATCCCATATACCCCTATACTTTTCTGTCAAACTGCTTCACAGGGTCAAAGGGCCAGTGCAGTCTAAGATGACTTTGGTATGGCGTCCATGTAAATCACCTTCGGGGATCATCTACTCTCAATCCACTATAGAATGGACATGAGTGGGCACTCTTGACGATCTCTAGGATTGTCATGCGCATACTCCACAGTGAGCCCTACTCCACAAAGCAAACTCTGCAAAGTCATATTAGTCATTGCAACAGGCCCGCAGCAGTTGCAAAGATCATCAAAGATTATATATTGTGAATATAAACGTCAGCGTCCAATCTAACCCGTAGCCATCGGCAACCTATCTGAGACTTGTGGCATTTTCCCGCTCGTAACCGCACTCTCATCTGCATTGGTCCGCTTCAACCGCCCTTCCCTCAATCACCAGACAAATCACACCTTCCGGCCTGGCCTGAGCACCGCGGGTGGCCTGGGCGAGCGCCTCATGATGAGGAGCGGATCGAGTTTGTGCACAGCTACTTCGTCTTCGGCATCGTGGGCGTGGCGCGGCGCACGGTGCAGAGCGATCAAGTCGCCCGGATCCCCTTGGAGGCGCTGTAGATCTACCGGAGACCGTGCGCGGTGGCAGGAGGAGGACGGAGAGTTTGGGAAGTAGAGGTTGGTGTGACTCGAAACTACTCCCTGGGAGTCAAAGACTATAAAAAGAATGGTCTTTAGGGGACCTGACAGGGAACTTCCTTTACTTCAGCCGGTCAAAATATAGTCTTTGGACTTCTAGGGTATTTATAAGAACTGAGTTCTTACTCAAGACGTGGGTCATTAGCACGGGACTCGGGCCCTTCGCCACCCCCGCGCTTGGCTGAAATCGTCCCAACTATACCTTACATGCGTCTTCCATGCTTAGATCTGCCTATATGAGGCAGACCATGTCTAAGCGTTTGAAGTACTACATCTATCTCCGCTTCAGAACCCTGCAACAAATCCATTGCAAAGCTGTTTGTTGTAAAATGGGTCGGCCCCTACTGTCTGCCCAGACCGAAAGGATACGCCAGACTTGTTCCAAGGAATGCTGCAGTAGAACGCCTCTCCGGTTGGGACCGACACCACGGCAGGCCAACACCCGGCACTTGCTCTCCTCCTCCGGTGCGAGCCCCAGCGACGTCTACCAATCCCTGCTGGCCGCCAGTGTCCTCGCGGAAGCCGCTTGGAGACGCGGAGGTTGGGAGGTCGAGAGCGGACCGTGCCAAGAGTCCAGTAGAGTGAAGATCGTTATGAAAAGAAATCGGCCACATGTCACCACATGACTTCTTGTACTGGTGAACGGGGCGAGTTCCAGCTTCAACAAGCCTAGGAGCTTCTGGAAGATTTGTCGGACGCCGACATCCGCAACTTCTTCAGTGAGGGCTTGAAGATCCTCGTCTTAGACAGGCAGATTGAAAGCCAGGAATGGTCATCCGTTAGAGGAGTGTATTGTGACGGCAGTGACCCACAATTTCAAAGGATGCTACAAAGATTTGCTCTAGTGCTTGGTCTATATTTCAATTCGGGGACTAAGTGGCAGGTGGATTTGCGGACAACAACTGTCCCATGTCCTTCCAGGATTGTGAAGAAGGAGGCGCACATGTCCCACATGGCCAGGGCATGATCTCGGCAGGAGTCCCTGCAGGTGTTGAGGTGCTCATTGGAGTCATGGCGTTTGGGGAGCTGAAGGCGCATGTGCGAAAGGCGTTGGACAACTCAACAGGCCTTTAAGAATGCCGGGTTGCACCAAGAGCACGATTGATGCCGGGTATGAGCATGGTCGCTTTGAGGCCTTTGTAACTCAAGTGAGGTGCAAGGCCGTTGGGAGCAGCCTCCAAGAGCTCCAGGCAGGTTTACTGCTGCATGAATGCGGTTTGGCTTTGCTTGGTGCATGCGATGAAATCATTGGAGGCCATTGTTCATGGTTTTTCATTGGACTCGGTGATGACCGGCTGAGGATGGTCCAGCTGATTTTAGAGGTCGCACAGCCGCCCGGCGAACAGGGCCAAGCCATGCATCGGCATGCCCATTATTATGTGCTATTGGTTGGTCGATTGGGGGCACGGCTCAACGAGGAATCGTGACCCGAGGGGTTTGGCTGGTGATTTGAATGTCCTCTTTTCGTCTGGGCTTGTTCAAAGGACCGGAGTGCAAGAGTGCATGTATATACCCCAGCAACTGGTCCCCATGTGGGGTCCTCATGTCAAGTCCGTAAATGTGGCCCGGCAATTGACACCTTGTTGCAGGGAAAGTACTTCCTTGGGTCGCACACGGGATGACTGCGGAGGCGGGTCAGATGACCACACCGTCTATGCCACGTTGGTCAACCTTATGGCTTTGGTTTATGAACTCGGTGTATTGAGTGAACTTACTTCATTGGTGAGTAGAAGAATCATATCACGCCCCAGGTGCCCTAGAAGACGCTTAGGTCTACGGCAATTGGAATGGCCAGTTATGTTAGTTTTCAGAATGCATTATCACAGGGTCCTTGATGGGTGTTTCCAATCTTCCTTCGCCTGAAGCTTCAGAACCTTCTCAGAAACATCAGGTCAACCACTGAATCCCGACCCACTGGGTTCACCAATATCTGAATTTGCGTTCTCCGACCCAGCGATGCCCAGGTACTCCTCCACCTTTGAAAGCATTGTGAAGCCAACTAAGGCAGCCCAGGGGCAGGGCCTTTCTCCAGTAAACAGTAAATCGCTTCTACCAGCCACTGATGATGGAATATTGATGATGAGTTCTTCTTAGAGCCTGTTGAAAGAGCAATAGAACATGTGATTGAACGCATAGCTCCTTGGAAGATCTTGGAAGACTGTATGGCACCTTGTAAGGCTGTGAGCCCGACCAGAGGTGGAGCTATTTACTTTCATTGCTTTTTTTTCAAGATGTTTCAAGGACAGCTGAGCGAGAGTGCATCGAGTGCTTCATCGCCAGGATGAGGATGAGACCTTTGTGGATGACACCTCGCAGTATTTGTCCGAAAAACACTATCTTCAGGCGTGACAGACTGGTGGACGTTCCTCGTGCGAAAAGGAGAGCGACCTCATGCGTCATGCAATTTGAGGTAGGTTGCTCTCAACAACTATGATTCTTTTTTTGTCGGGCTCGGGCTCACCATCAAACCAAAGCATTCTCGGACACCCTATCACGACATGCGACCCAAATCATGGAAACTTGATGAACATGGGCATCCTCTGGCAAGAACCTGGTACTGTATCCATATATATAAGAGTGGTTCCAAGCTCGGGCTCTTGAATTCCGCTCCTGAGTGTCTGAGCAGCCCACTTCTTAAGTGACTTACATATTATATAGACCCCACATCAATAGCCAAATGTATTGGACACCGTTTATTCTTTTTATTAGGGGACCACTCCTTTTCTCGTGGCGCAGCTGGGTGGCGTTTCCGCATTTGTTCGAAGATGCGGCTCGCCGCTCTCGCATCTTCGCACCGGTAGGAACGACAGAAGTTCCACATGCGCTCTCGCTATCGCTTGGCCTATGGATTCCTCAGCCGCTTCGTGCGGACGATCGAAGTCATGATGGATGGCCACTGGGATCGAAGTCATGGCCACTGGAGGGGAGGCGGGTGGTTTGCAAGAAGGAGGAAACCAACAGATTTATAATTGGAATATATATGGTCAACGAATCGAGAAGGTAGTGAAGTGTTTTTCTATGGCCATGGAGTCGTCCGCCGGCTTCGTAGGTGTGTTCACTACTTGACCCCAAATTTCCATCATTTTTTGTGCTCCAAAATGGCAAGTCATGCACACGACACACACATCAATTTGCTGGTTGGGCTGTAGCTAGAACTGATTCAGACCATGCGGAAGTAGTTGTGGAATTCCACAAGTTGCAAGCACAATCCAACATGTTGCATCATTTTGCCACACAGTGCCTTCAGAAATGGGATTTGTGGTTTGATGTGGCTCAATCTGTTGCCTCCACTGCGGAGTGGGAATACCAAAGTGGGGCTTTGCATTAAGACTTGCCGCTTACTGCAAGTACTCGTAGCTGTAGCTACAAAAAGTACACTCACCTGGGAAGATTAGCATGGAACCTGAAATTGGAACTTTGAAAGGCGTTTCCTCTACAACCCAGTGGTTTTCAGATTCTGTGTGAATTATCCAGGGTGTATTGAGCATGGAGCTTTATACATACAAGGCATTGTCACAAGGCTGGTCGGCCGACCCGGGGGTGATTGCAGTTCGTGCCACCAGCCATGTCATATGGCAGCCGGGTGTCACATCTCATGTCCCAATGGATTGCCGTTTGCAAACACTGGATGGGCACTGGCACTACCTGAATTGTGCAAAAGCACCAAACAAACCCCGAAGTCTTGATTGTTAGTAGTGCAAAGCTCAAGTTTTGATGGTTAGTAGTTCAGTAGTTCAGCATATTGGTCACCAAATCCCTGAGACCAACTTGGCACGGTCTCACCGAGGCAACTTGCACTATTTGCATTTTTGCCTCCCTGTGACCGCGATGTGGTACGTCTATGGGGAAGCCAAGCAGAACATCTTGGACACCGTTCCATTCGCATCGCCGGACATCAAAGCCAGATATTTCATCAAGAAGTGCCACTTAGACCTGGAGCGGGACCGGAGGAGCCAGGAGCGGGACCGGAGTTGGAGGACCGGAGTTGGAGAGTTAGATGTTTCGACTGGAGAGCCATGGAGCCAGGGGACCCAATTTGAAGAAGGCCTCATCAAACGTAAGCCGAAAAATTCTGAAAAGGTGATTCTTGGATTACAAGCTATCAGTTTGCCCGGTAGTGACCGGTTTTGATGAGCCCAGGGCCATCCAGATAAAACCGCTTGGAAGACCACCCAACGCTGGGGGTGCCCGCTCCTATACTCAGCAGCTACCAAATAGACAAGCACTTCATTTGACCGAACGGAGAGCAGGAGATCGGCATGCACATATCACATCGAAGCACCGAAGAATTGGATGCATTTGTGGCGACCATGGTCGGTAGGGCCCAGTGGGCAGGTTATGGACTAGTCTTGATTTATGTCCCGGCCATAAATATGAACGATATGAAGAGGTTATGTAATCCAAATGGGGCGGTCTTCATTAGTTATGAGAGTCCACATTATGTTGTACGCGGTGTCTTTTTCTGCCTCCCAGCGAGCAGCCGCGTCTTTATTCACCAAGCATGTGATCGTTTGTGGGAGTAGCCTGATCTGAGGGCTGAGAAGAGTCCATTTCCGGGTTTCCATGCTGGTACTTCCCAGTGTCGAAGAAACCTATGCAACCTTGTAAAGGCCCCTACTGACAGTGTTGCGTGCACCTCTGAAGAGGTGCAGGTGGTCTCGCTTTGTATCAATCGAAGCATGTTTGGGATCTATATAAATGAGGTCAGGTTGCCATGCCACCCTGCCACCCGGTCACTGGTACCTTCAGTGTGAAACGACCGGTGGGAAACCACGGAACTTTCAGGTATTACGCTACATCGCGAGTCGAAGCTCATCAAGGAGACAGAGAAGAGACAGCAGAGAACATGCCAGAAATGGCCCAGATGCAACCCTGGAGTCTAAGTAGGGGAGTAGGGGAATTGGAGGAGACTCCACCTGTTGAAGGACAGGATGAACGCAAGCGGGGGTGGCCCCAAATCAGAGCCGAAGCTCTTCGTCCTGACGGATTTTACATGATTTTACCTGGGATCCCACCGGGCCTGCTGGGCTGCTTGCATTCCGTGAGCCTCGATGGGCACCAAATGAGCCAACTGGGCCATTTGTTCAGCTCTGAAAAGATGGACCCAGCTGTTTTTTTTCTGATATATATATATATACAATATATTATATATATGTACACACACATATATATATATATCAATTTGAGCTTTGTTTGTGTGGAGAATGGATCGGAGAATATGGATTGGTGCGAAGCTCCGGAAGACCTTGTGGCCCAAAAACCAGACCTGAGAAGACATCCACGGACGTGGACGATGATGCAACGTTCGGTCCGCAGGTCCTGCCAGGTCCGCCCGGTCCAAGAAGATCCCATGTCGGTGAGACGACCGTGCACGTGACTAGCTGGCTTCCGGATTTGGAGTTGTTTTCCAAGATGGTTGGGGACAGAAGATTGGGGAGCCACGGCGCCGCTTTCCAGATTCCCAACCTCCTACATCTAAGCTGCCATGAATGGTACGATGTGATGTCAATCACACGCCTCATGATTGGAGTCTTAGTCACGTTGTTTGGAGGCCTTGTGACCTGGTTGTTGGTTGCGCTGCTTGACCGTGCTTTGCGCCATGCACACGGCCGAATCCATTTCGACGCCCACTCATGGAACCATTTTCTCCGTGGTAGACCCTGGCTCGTTGGCAGTTTTGGCTTCTTCTGGGTGGCTGGACTGGTAGTATCCATCACCTTGGGCGTGTTTGTGTCTACACGAACGATTCCACCGCAGTTGGTGGATTGGCACCTCTTTTGGCCGAAGTCGCCTGAGTGCAGCTTCCACTGGGTGACCTGCCCAGAGCCCTTTCCATTGCACGCAGGGGCGGGCCTCACAACTCATCAGCAGCAGCAGAGACTGGAATTCTTTGTCTCATTGCTCCTCTGGCTCGTGCTGGCAGCTTTTTTTGGCCGGCGAGCTGCTCACATGTTTGGGGAACGCGTGTAGGGGTTGCCTCACAACTGCGGCATCACAGTATGTCCGACTCCATTCTGCATCTTCCTGGATCTCCTCACCCTCCTCCTCCTCCTGCTGCTCCTCCTCCTCCATCACCATCCATCCCAATAATATTAACATCACACTCGGTATTCAAATTGCTATGCACTCCTTTTGCGCCACACTGACGGCTCTAGCACTTGCACTGAAGGGCCTGGATGCCCATCAGGGCGTGTGGTGGGAAGTCTATGTGTGTTGGACCTTTGTAATGCTCACCTGCTCTATCCTGCATGCTTCATATTTTGCATTGACCCTACCAGCAGAAAGTTATGTGCCCCATTTCGGACTGCCGGTCATTACGGCCGTGGTTCCAATTCTGAGCGAGCCGCTGGATACATTCAAGGACTGGATTTTTGTTGGGATTGCAGTCAGCAGAGGAACTTGTTCTAGCTTGCTGGTAGCTTGCCTCGGTTTGCTGATCCTCTTCAGCTCGAATGTTTATATGTCTAGATGTCACTTGCAAGAGCTCGAGCGCTGCCTCATGCCAGTGCAAGCAGTTCTTTCGCCTGAAGGCCGTGGCCGCTGCAGCTTCTTGGTAAAGCAAACATCTCCAGCAAAGCTGGCCATTGCGCTCACAGAAGATTTGCCGCAGGCCATCCTCCAGTCAATCTTTGTGATATTATACGGAGGAAGTTCCACGCAATTGGCCTTCATCACCTTGAGTGCTGTGAAAATCGTTGTTTGCTTCAGCCTGCACGCCGTATTTCTTGAGATGGATGGTCGTCATGGCGAGTCCTGGACTGCAAGGGTGAGGTATTTCGAGGTACAAATTGCAATCTGGTCTTTGCTGCTAGGCCAGGGAAACCGATGGGTCTTGGCCCTTCAGAGGGGGCTGGCTGAGGCCTGGTATGACTTGGGAGAACAGGATAAGGCCCTTCAACTCAAGGAGGAGGTGTTGGAATCAAGTCGTTTTGCCTTGGGACCTCACGATTGTGACACCTTGGAAGCAGAGAAGCAGCTGGCCGTCACCCTCCGAAGAATCGAAAAGTACACCGAAGCTCTTGCACTGTTTGACGAAGTCATGAAAGCAGAGCAAGAGATGCTGAACCCCAGGCATCCTCAGGTGCTCATGACTCGGAGCAACTTTGCTGTGACGCTGGGCAAGTTGGAGAGGCATGAGGAGGCCTCAATGATGCTAGAAGGGGTGCTGGCGGCAGAACGTGAAGTGCTTGGTGACATGCATTTTGAAACTCTTTGGACTCAGCGCAATTATGCGGAAAGCTTGAACAAGTTGAAGAGGCACGAGGACGCACTGAGGGAGTTGGAGAACGTGTTTGCAGCACAGCGTGAAATGCTGGGCATGGACCACCCGAACACTCTCAGGACAGCATCCAAGCTTGCACGAACCCTGCACGAATTGGGCAGAGACGAGGAAGCCCTGCAAAGGCTTGAGCAAGTGCTCCAAGGATGCCAGGAGGCCTTTGGTCCGCAACATGAGTTCACTCTCGAAATGCAGCGTGAGGTTCAAGACTTGCGATGTCAGAATTCAGGAGTCGCTGCACCCGACATGGCCTGAAAGGAACCAGAAAAGGGACCAAGAGTGCCTTCAGCGCACTCATCGTGGCTGGTTGAATCTTGGAAGAACTTCTTTGAAGGACCAGTTTCTTCGAATCAAGTATACTCTCAACTACTATGTCACTGGCCCACACAAGTCCTAAGTCACCAGTCGGTAGTATATTTTGCTTCTTTGTGTTCTTTAAACGACGTGTTCGTGTTTGGTTCGGTTCACCTCCTTTTCGTTCTTTAGGGGCCTCCTGGCCTTGTTTTCGAACCACACACGGAATCCCTCACAACGGCCAACCCACTCGGGAAGGCTGAAGTTGTAACATCCCGCAAGGGCCGCAAGGGTTCTGCACCACTGGTGACCACGGACACGGACAGCAGATTGAACCATAAAGGCAAGAACCATGTCTCGGCACTGGGCAATCTCGTGGATATGACCTGCAGGAGGGCATCAAAGATAGGAGATGACCGATGGCTTTTAAGTACACCATCCGATTTTTCAGGCAGGGTATTTAACAGGAGCAACACTTGACTCACCCCGGCCGTTGTGAATTGGCCGCTTGCATCCACTCACTAAATGGGTGTGTTTTAAAATCAGGGAGACCTCCCAAAGACCCTCCGGGAGAGAGAAAGTTAGACCAAAACCATCCAACGCCGGGACGCGAAGACTTTTCCCGAGTTGTCGTCAATCACGTACTCCAAATGATTGGGGGTGACCCAAACATCGAGAGCGAGCTCCCTTAGTGCAGGAGAACCGGTTCTCTTCGGTTCTCCACCAGGACTTGTCGCGCTTCTCGGTGGTGCCGGAGAAACTGCTCAAGCTGGCGCAGAGGAGCTGGGGACAAGGTGTGACGGTGTTCCAGCAGGAAAACCCCCCAAACTCGAACAGCACTGAATGGGGGGTGTTTTTTTTGTGGGGGAGAGATGAATTTGTGAGCTGTTGGAGGGACCAAAGGCTACTTCTATAGTGAAAACACATCTATTTTGTAGATGCGCTCTTTGGGGTTGTTGCAGGGACGGGTACTTCATTGGGGAGAAGGTGACGCAGTAACGTCACTCACCCTATCGCCAGTTCTTCCAAAACACATCCGCTCACCGGAGAAGGCCATTTGGAAAGGCGGGACTGAGCTTCGCCCGAAACAAGAAACACCCAGAGGGACTTTGCAGCTCGAACCCGCCAAGAAATCCCACTACCTTGTGAGCATAGGAATTGAGGCCCGAGCACTGGCTTTGCAGTGACCAGGTGGAGGAATGTATATAGATTTTATAGAGGTTTTTTTGGGACTAGAATTTGGGGAAAGGTTAATTAATTAACTCCCAGGCAACTTCAAAACATAGAACTTGTACTAGAAAAATCATTGTATTTTTTTGGGGTGGGGACATAATAACATCGGGCCGAGCAAAACATTAAAATCAACATTCAAGCTCTAGTCCAAACCTTGCTTCCCTTGATTCCCTGCTCTAGTTTGAGTGGCCATTGACTCCGATGATTTCTTGGTGCTTCAACGTCCAAGGAGCATCCCCGACTGGATGCATCGCCCGTAACCTGGTTTGCCAGAAGATGGACGACATACGATGACCATTTGGCTCACTGGAAGACAGCTTCCTCAAGCGGTCTCGCCTCACCGAGTAGTGACCCCCTTCCATCCGAAGAATTGCACCGAGTTCGCCGGACCATTTCCGCAGGTGAGGCCGTCCGGACCAGGATTTTGGTTAATCCATTCGATTAGGCGGGCGTAGGATGAATCAAGCCGAATCAACCATCTGCACAAAAAGAAGGAGAACGGCTCAAGGAGAACGGTTCGCTGCAGAATGTCCAACTCTTTTGTACACCGAATGCCACACCGACTGCAGCGCACCAATCGGCCCCTCCTCAGGTTCCAGATCTTCCTGTGCGACGACGCCAAGAACATGTCCAGGCTCTTGCGCTCCGCGCTCTTCCTGGGGTTGGCTTTGTCGGCCCACACGGGCATGTGGCCTGGTGGAGAGCAGTGTGGAGAGCGGTGCAGCCGAAGCAAGGCTTGCCTCCATTCTAATTGATGTCCTTCAAACGCTGGAGCCAAGCAGCCAAACCGCCAAACCAAAGAAGGGCCTACCGTGGTGGTGATGGCAGTAGTGGAGGTGGCAACGTGACAAAAATTGATGTGCAAAGACCGCAAGGAGGCTGTTGGGATTGAAATGCGGCGCATATATATATATATATAATGTTTGTGCACACCGGGAAATTTTGGGAATACGGAATACCATATTTTTTGGAACCAGTTTGTTGTATCCTTGATCCAGCTCCAGGGAGTCATACTGAAAGTGATGCATCCTGTTCCCATGACTTCTTCCCCCTCGCAAGCCTCAGGAACTGTCCTTCCCATTCCGAAGCCCCAAACCCTTGGTGTTCGTGTTCCACGGCCCAGGGCCCACGACCGTCCCCCGTTCGCCCGGCGTGGGTCTGCCGGCCCGAGGTTTCTGGTGCCGGGCGATGAAGAGGACGAACTGCATGGGCTGCACGCCAAGTGGAGCTCGCCCAGAGCGGAGTTTGTGGCTCGGCACGGACACAGACAGGGGAGGACCAAGTAGAGCTGGCTCTGGCAGATTTCAAGTGCCGGATGATGGCATGCTACAGCACTTATGCATACTTATGCCGCATGCAGCGGCAGCTATAAACAAGCGAGAGGGTGAACACACCTTTTTGCAGTAAATAAATCATATAATATTATCTCTTCCTATTGGGGAGTGGGAAGCCGAGCACAAGCGGGCCGGCATGGCGCACCGGCGGGCGCCCGGCACATGCGCACCTCAGGTGGCACACTCCTTGAGTTGCCTGTACTTCACATGCACGGCGCTCTGGTTGCTTCTGACCATTGCCATCAAGCTGCCCATCGTGATGTACGAAGTGGAGGCCAGAGATGCTGCAACCGCCCGGCTGAAGCGGTGTGAGGAGGCTCCATGGGTGTCAATATTGTTTCATATGGTTTTCATACTGCTACACTGGGTGCATGCAAAAGGGAGGTGGCCCAAGTCCTGAAACCCAGACACTTTTGGTCCTTTCTTTGTTCGTTTTGCCAGTGGCAAGCTGTTGGGTCCACTCCTTTTGCGCTGTGGCCAAGAACTGTTTGAAGGAATGTCGCACAAGAGGCAAATGAAGATGCAAGGGAGACTGGTTGAAACGGAGAATAAAACGGTTGCTAGAGACTAGAGACCACTAGCTCTCCACGGGCCATGCCGCATGTCATCCACTTACTTCCGTAATGCCAGTGACACCACAATTGACGGAGCAGAGAGACCTTCGTTTTCAATCCAGGAGAGAAGTGGATATCTGTTGAGCCAGTTTTGGGCCCCTAAGCTTTTTGGGGGCATGGTCTTTAAAAGAAGAACCGGTGGGAAGGTTCGATCAACCTTGATTCTCCACGGGCAGCTTGCTGCATGTTCATTCATTTTGGGACCTAGGACCTATATGGGGTGTCCAACCCCGTATTAATGAAGAGGTTTACAATCCAAATGCGAGGACTTGATCAATCCAGATTCCAAGCGATCCGGGCCTTTTCTTCTGATAGAGGGACGTGACGAATCGCCCGACAGATGCCTTGACCACGGCGCATGCAGAGGAGGTGATGCTTCAGGGCCACCAACGCTTCGCCATCCCCCGGGTGGTGCTGGGGGCCTATGCCTCGTCGAGGCGTTGGGAGAACTTTTATTTTTTTGGAGACCAGGGGCAAGACGATCCTCCGCCCACTAGCCTGGCTAGAATCCCGAGGGTCCCCGCTCGTTTATCCACAGGTCGAGGGACCCAATCCCATATTGTGTAGAGAGCAGAGGATCAATACGGGAAACCTGAAAGATATCGTGGTGTTGGTCGTCCCATCTGGCGAGTGGATGTGAGATGTCCCACCTCTGTCCATCCGATCTGCTCCATATCTATCCTCGGTTCGTTCGGCACGTCCACATGAACCCACTGACTCATATGTACTTTTTGCGTTCGTGAGTTGAAACCGCCCACCACTTTTAATCGAGGATCATATATGGTATTAAACCATATTAACCCCACCGCCACTTTGAACCACTCACCCACCACGTTTGACGGTATTCTATACTTTCGCACTTTGCGATGGCAATGCATTCCTGGGAGTCTTCTTCGGCCTTGGAACAGGTGGAACATCTGTAGGGGCTGGGGGCCAAGCATCAAGGACTCCCCACCAAAGAATATACGAGCGAATATACTGTATTTACAACAATTTACCACATATAATAGATATATACCCTGGGAGTCAAAGACTATAAAAAGAATGGTCTTTAGGGGACCTGAAAGGGAACTTCCTTTACTTCAGCCGGTCAAAATATAGTCTTTGGACTTCTAGGGTATATAGTATATATATATATACACGTACATACTATTCAAATGTTGATAGATATTGTGTTGCTTTTGGATTTTTTTTTGTTGACGCATGTGTTTGTTATTGTTGTGCCGGCGGCGTATTTTCATTGAAACACTTACAGGGCAAACCACTGGCACCTGCCAAACTAATGACTGTAGTTGCAGGAAGGTTTTCCCATGTTTTCCCACAACAATGGCGCCAGCAGCCCGCTGCGCTGGCAGGTTGCTCCGTGACGGACAAGTAGCCTGGCGGATTCTCTTGTGACCCGCCTTCAATCCCGTAGGCCGTTAAACCGCTTGAAGTCGTGCGGGTTTCGCGCTCATGGGTTTGGAAGCAACACTTGATGAACGCACCGGAAGTAACACTTGGTTCCCGCAGCATGTGCAGTCTCAGATTTGTTTGATTCTTGCACCCATGTCATTCATGCATTGCTTCATGTATTTAAATTGGCCACTCAGATCTTGAAGTGCATCCGTCCTGGTGGTACGCGTTTGCCCCTTCGTTTGCCAAAAGCTGCAGATGGAGAAGGTTGACTTACTTGGGAGGCAGTCCAGATTTGCAAGAGGACTTCAGCCCTCGGTGGTCCAAACCAGGTTTGCCCCAAACTCAGTGGAAGGTTCCACCAAAACCTGCCGCCAGATCTGAGTTCGACTCGGCTGCTTTCCAGAGCGCTCCATGGTCGAACGGATCGTTGGAAGACGAGACTGGATGAGACGAGACTGGTGAGCTAAGGAGCTAAGGACCCCTAGAGTCCTACTGGAGGCTATCCCCGGGGAACATGTGTACAGTGTACAGTAATTAGGCTTCACTTCCACCCTTACATCAGCACAGCCCTAGCTAAGGAGTCGGGTATACCCATATTCCCCATTCAACAGGGAGCCAACGACGGCTCCAAGGGTTCCCCCACCCTTTGGCTGGTTTGGGTGGTGGGGTTTCCCAGCAACAGCCACCGGTGGTCCCGTCACGCCCAGGTTGCTGTGCTGCTTCTGTGCCTTCACCTTTAGGCCCGGGACGGATTCGCCGAGGTACTTCCGCACGAAAGAGACTCGAACCGCCGGATGACTCGGGGGTACTTCAAAAACCTTAGAATATTGATATATATATATATATTAGTACCCCCCAGAGATTGATATATTAGTAGTACGTCTTCAAGAACCATAGTACCTTGGAATATTGATTATAATTAGTAGGCATGATGCACTTCTTCCCGCGAACGATCCCATGGAACCCGAGAAGAAAGACCGCTTCCTTGGTTTCGACCATGTTCCGAATACCAACCCGCTGGGCCGGGGGCCCTCCATGTGGCCCGAATGGGCAGGGGTCCCGCGGCTGCGCCGAGTCGGCAGCGCCATGGGGTTCCCCGACATCGGGCCCTGCCAAGCGAAGCCAAGCATGGCTGAAGCAGCCATAGCTTCAGCACAAGCGCGAGCGCGGAAGAGCTTTCTGGTTCTTGGGGCCTAGCTGGTCCTCAGCAGTATGCCATACATTCCCCCATTCATCCGAAAGAGAAGGAACCACGGGAGCTCCCCAACCCCCAAAACCTGAGATGTTCCCGGTTGGCCTCCCCAATCCCCGCGGCTTCTTCCACACCTCGCCGCCACCTGCGACTCGCAGCCGCAGCCCAAGGGGTTCTTCCACGGCGCATGAAGAACCGCAGGGGGAAGACTTCCACGGTGCAGGCACTACTGGTTGAACGCGTTCATTCTCATGGACTTTTGGTGCCAATCCGCCGTGCTGGCCACGGTCTTCCGCGCCATCGCGTCGCCGCTGAAGTCCTTGGCCATGACCTTCCTGGGGTGCCTGGGCATGACCGTCCGCTGGTCAGAAGAGAGCGGAGATGTGTGCAACGTTGTTGATGCGTTAATTGGTTGAGTTAGTTGTAAGTATATGCACAAGTATACGCATATTACATATATATAATATACTGGGGTTGGTTGTTGTTGAGACATGTTGTGACTAATTCTCGACTGACTCTTGGGTTCCGTTGGTTGCGTTGAAGTTGTGTAAAGCGCGTGTGGACTTGCTGGGTAGGCCCTTTCGCTCAGGGCAGCACTCGATGATCCCACCAGCCCACCAGGGGGGGTTTTGAACGAGTTGCCTAGGGTGATCGATTCTTTATCCGGTTCCCATCCTTAGGCCGTGCATCAGGTCTGCACAGATGCACAGGTGCAAAGGCAGGTGCAAAGGCTCACAATGACAGGGTTCCGGTGATCGGTGTTCGGAACGGACGAGCAGCGTCCGACCGAGACTCACCTGTTTTGGTGTTTCTGCGTTGCCAGGGTTGGGCAACATTCCCGGATCCAAGTACCTTCTCAGAAGGTGATTGGGGACACTCTTATGTAGGTTTTGAGGGTCCAAGTACCTTCTGAGAAGGTACTTGTATCCCTATCCCTAAGGATTTCAGCAAGTGCGTTGGGATTTTTACTTTTAGGCCTTCGCCCCTTACATGAAGCAGGATGGCCCAACCATCTCAAAACAAAACACACGAATGACAGGATGGCCCGACCATCCAGACTGTGGGTGGTCAGATGAGACGGGCGTTTTTGGTGCACCCGCCCTGAAAGGATGACCCAAACCCTGAAAGGATGACCTCATCGGTATTCTATATATCTCACATGTCACAGTGTGCACGTTCGTACCTGGATTCGGCGATGGCATCAGCTGATGTAAACCATCCACGTTCGCTGAGCTGATGTAATACCAGATGATGGCAGTTCTGTAGCAGGTACATGCGCGTATCATCACGTCACGCGCATGTACTTTAAAATATAACATATAATAATATAATATATATATATATGTGTGTGTGTGTGCATTCCATCAGACAGTACACTTGTACAGAGTGGATTCTGCACAAGCAACTCCAGGATGCTACATGTCTTTATTGCTTCGTCATGCTCTTCCACTGTGATGATATATGCAGTATGGTATCATACAGTATACCAGGACCCTCCAAGGGGTGCCCAATGGAAGCCTATAGGTAGTGTGGGGTAGTCCATTGGACACCCCTTGGAGGTATGATGTTTGTTTACCTTTTTCTACGTTTGGGGCGCCCTTTAAGTTGGGGCGCCCCGACTGTTGCTGGCTCAGGTTGTTGATTATCACCTTCGTCTATGCGGCGATCGGCTTTCGCCCCTGGGTCGCGAGTGGCCGCGAGTGGAAGCGTTTCGGGCCCCGGAGGTCTCCGTTTTGGGTGGCGATGATCAGGGGCCTGATATAGAAGTTGACGTTTCTCGGTGACTGAGCAAGTGAGGCTTTTTGGTTCAAGTGGATGCTGCAACTGGTGCTTTTGACATCGCATTCCTGATGAGAAGATACGATACTAATTAATATTAATTAATAACTACTATATACGATCACGCGCTCACGAATCCACCGTGAAACGTGGTTTGAGCATGTTGCTCGACCGGTCGCGGCAACGAGAGTTTCCCCGGTCGCGGCAACGAGAGTGAAAAATCACATACACAAAGTCGTCACGAATCGATCTCTCTATATACTGTAATGATCCCCGGTGAATGATGGTCTATAAAATGGTATGTAAGGCTGGACAATCCATTCTATAGAGGGTATTTTCCTATAGAATGCCTGGTAAACCCTCCTTACCCTGGTTCACCGGGGATCTGTAATGTGGTGTCCTTTGGTTCGGGGCAGTTTGAAGCTGCCCCATGTGATCGTGTATGACAAAATGTCTGAGACATTCTGCTGTTTAATGACACCCTACCAGAATGCTTCTACATATCTCCATCTAGGGGGGTTTATCAGGCTACCTTTGACTGGAAGTGGTGACGATGACCATAATGCCAAGGGATACAAGAAGGGCCAGCCTGCTCATTAAGGGAGAGAGTGCTTGATGCGCGAGTCGAGGCTTTTTCCGAGAAGATTTCCACAATTTTTGCGATGAGAGCATCCTCATTTGCACAGAGACACTTGGCGAACTTTGATGCCGCGCGTTTTATTTTGCGTGTTGGACTTTAGCTGGGTTTGGACAATGAAGGTCGGGAATCTACAGAAGAAACCTCGGAGGACTCAAAGTTGCAAGAACAGACCACGGTACCGCACAGGTACGGGCTATAACTGAACCGTAGCCTTCAAAGACCATTACAAGAATGGTTGACCTGGTGGTGTAGTGTAAAATCCTTAGTAAAACAATCGTGGTTCGAATCCCGGGGTGAACAAGTCTGCATTTCCCAGCATGCCCACAAGACAACTTTCCAGCTTGGCTTGAAAAGAGTCGAGGGCCGGGGGAATATTGACTCTTCTAGAGTTGGAACCGGGGAACCGGGGACTGGGTGAGGTGTTCGCAAGCCGAAAAGGCCACTGTTCCCCCACCAAACACACAACGTTTGGGGAGATCTGTTGGTTTGAGAGTCCGACTGCGGATGCTTGGAAGAAGTGAGGGGGCCGGCCAGCCATGTGGTCGGGTCTGGCTCAGGGACACACACCGGCACATTGGCACAAAGGAACATCAAACCCAGACCCGAGACCGTGTGTATAGTGTTTTTTCCTTTGGGAGCATGAGCACTTTGCGGTCGCTTCCTAGATGTCAGGAACATCCTCTACCAGGGCACGCGCGGAGGCATCGTGGGTTTGAGCCCCATGATGAGTTCGACACGGCCGGGCCAATCAGACTGGACTCAGCGGATGATCTACGCAGGGAGGCCCAGATTACTACCGGAGATCTGGTGCTTTACAGGGCCCACTGTGCCCCACAGGGCTCACTGCTTATCCATTGTGAGGTAGTTAGCAACTACTGTAGCAGTTGTCTAGCAGCTAAGCAGCAGCACTGTAGTTGCCATGTGGCGAGATAAACTTAGATTAGAGCAAAGGCTCAGAGGGCGTTGGTATATGTTATATTCCGATCAGCTGCTTGTCAGTGTTCCGCAAAGAACGTACTTCCTCGGATTATGCTCCATATGTCTTGTTTCTATTTCTGGTGTGGATTGTGTGCTTGTTCTTGCCCATTGGGCACAAAAAGAACGAGAGAGAGAGAGAGAGAAAGAGAGAGGCAGAGAGAGAGAGAGAGAGAAAGAAAGAAAGACAAAAAGAAAGAAAGAAAGACAGAATGAACGAATAAACAATAAATAAAGAAAGAAAGAACAAATAAAGAAAGACATAAATAAAAGAAGACAGACAGAAAGAAAGCAAGCAAGAAAGCAAGAAAGAAAGAAATAAAGAAACAAAGACAGACAAACCATCAAATAAACATACAGAAAAGAAATAACAATTACTTTACTTCGAGTGATCCCCACCATGACAAATCATTT